CAGTTGAATAACAAAGCAGGTAAGATAACAGGCAATCAAATGGATGAGAGATTCCTAAGGACAGGGTAATCGAATAGCGTGGTCTCCTTAATCTATTTAGACGGTTGACAAAACTTCATAGAAGCTATCCCTTGACAACAAGTTCAAAAGCAAATCAATTCACTACCGTGATAGAAATTCTCAAGCAGAGCTAGACACAGACCTAATCACCATTAGCGATCTCTAACTAAGCAGGCAATATCGAATCAACTTGTTAAAGCCAATACCCGCTCTAAACGGCCAATACCTTGGGATAGAGACGAGTATCTCTGGAATTAGTGGATCAGACATTCCATCAAACACCTTTTGGGTGCGGGAATGTCTGGATTCATTTTCCAGTTGATCAGAAAGGAACAAGCAATAAGCGCAACTAATCCAGAAGGGATTCAAACAATCTAAACTCAACCATCTAAAGCGACTAGGGCAACCACGACTACTCTATCCCATCCTCAGAAATACAATTCACTACTCAGACATAATCAAAAACAATAGCAATGAAACGATTGAAAACATGATAACAGGAAATGATAAAGACTAAAACAAAAACTGAATTATAAAATACTTGAAAGCGAATACAAAGTCGCAGGAAGAACACACTGCGGCTATGAAAACAAGTCTAGGTAAAAACTGAAAATAAAGACTGGATGCCTTCGGGAAAACCCTTAGAGGCTGCTTATATAAGCGAAAAAAAGGTTAAATAAGGAAAGTTCGGGATAGTGGTCTTCACAACGAGACTTTGCGATCAAGCATCTGATGGGCTGAAATGGGCTTCCCTGTGATCGAGTGAAACTGATCAAACTGGGCTTCGGGAACTCCGTCTTGCGATCGAGTGGTCTGTAGTGAAGACGAGATGGAATGGTCCAGCGACCTTGCGATCGAGTGGTGCGATCGAGTAGATGATGTGAGGTGGTGATCGAGTGATATGTCCTTCATGACAGTTTCTGGGGTTGTGATCGAGTGGTTTTGCCCTTCATGACAGTTTCTGGGGTTGTGATCGAGTGCTTTGCTCTGTCAGGGCTCCGAGGTTGCGATCGAGTGCTTTGGCTGAGGGAGTGATTGAGCGTTCTGAATTTCTGTTCTGTTTCTCCTCTGTTTGAACTCCAAAAGCATCCAAAGTACCTGAAAACAACCAAATATGCGATGCACATGCAATCCTAATGCAAAAACGTCCTAAATATGCAAAACACACTAAAACGACTACTAATGAGATGAAATGTGATTGAAACAATGACAAAGTGATGAAGAATGAATGCTTAAATCATGCAAATTATAGATATATCAATTACTCATTCGATTTGACTTGTCCCCGATCTAATTTTATTACTCATTCAATCTGAACTTGTCTCTGATCAAATTCTATTACTCAGTCGATATGAACTTGTGACCGATCTAATTCTATGACTTATTCGATCTGAACTTGTTTTCGATCTAATTCTATTACCCATTCGATCTGAACTTGTCGTCGATCTAATTCTATTACCCATTCGATCTGAATTTGTCCCCGATATAATTCTATTACTCATTCGATCTGAACTTGTCCCCGATATAACATATTATTTAAATAAAATTATATCCAATTGTAAACGTGCAACATTTATTGCAGCCTGCTTCTTCGTGACACAGCAGTCTGTCACCATCAAAGGCAATTTTGTCCACAAATTTGCATGTGGCAATGAAATGTAGTAGATTTTAAGAACTATTTCCAAAAAGTGGTACATTTTGCAAGATTCCCTATTGGTTAACACTAGGATGTGCACAAAAATGAAATTATTACCATTAATGATTAAATTTTGACATAATGAGGCAACTATTAATGATTAATCTTTGACATATTAGACAAAACACCAACAAAAAAATTTAGAAACACATTTCTTTAAATGTAGGAAGGATTCAACAGTATTTAGGAAAGATTCAATAGTATTCAGGATGGCTTTCATAAATGTTTATGAAGATCTTCCTAAATTTAGGAAGGATTCAACCGTATTCATAAATCTTTTCGGAAGTTCTAGGAATTCTTTTTGAATTTCGTAGAATATTTCCTGAATTTCCTGAATTTCGTGAAAAACTTTTGGCAGGAAAATTTTACTTTTTATTTATTAATTTAGTTAGATTAATAATTTACATTTAAGGTTTAATTAAAATTTAGGGTGCTATTTTTGGAACTTTGTAAATGTGATGTTATAAATGGAAAAAAAATATATTTTAGTGCAATTTTGTCAATTACCCCTTTTTTAATTGCTTTTTTTTAAAAAAAAGAGAAATTGTATTGTATAACCAACAAGAAAACTATAATTAAATTATAAAAACTATAGAATGAAAATTTCATTTGTTAATCAGAAAGTGTAATTAAATTTTGGGTGTGATTGGTGACATGTGTTATTATGTAGTATCATTGATTTAGGAAGATAACTCAAAAATGTTACCAATCATGATATGTTTATAAAATTTTGCATTAGAGGTTGAAGTTTGTTAAGTTATGAATGAATTACATTTTTGAGTTATCTTCTTTGTAAAATTGCTAAATCAAAACTTAACTCAAAAACATGAAAAATCTCATGAGTTAGGATGTGGTAAGTTGAGTTATAATTTTTACTTTAAAAAAAAACAAAAAATATTTTTAAATTATAATAAAATGTCTTAAATTAATTTGAATAATGAGAAAAAATTGTTATTAGTATCTTACTTTTATTCATAACATTTCATAAAAATAGGTAATTAAATTTCTTAATTTTCTTAACATCTTTAAATTTTTAAATTTATGTTTTTTATTTGTATTTAATTATCAAAAACTATTTCTAGGACTAGATTTAATACAGATGAAATTTAAATATGCTATGAAATGTAAGTCATTCATTTTTTTTCCCAATGGTGGACTTTATTCAATATACCAATTGTTACAAGGCTAAGCTAAGCCAACACACATTAACGGATTACAAAACAAAAGTAAGCCCAAGAAGAGCCCAATAATGCACCGTCTACGGAAGAAGATTGGACAAAGGAAGATCACCCAAAGACACGTAATTATACACGTGTAAGATGAGCAAAAGTAAGATTCCCATCTTCATCCTTCGCCATCGGAGATATCGATTTTCCGGTGAAGAAACCACCGTCGTAATTAAATCGACGGTAGATCATCTGTTTTCACCAGCAATAGCAAAACAGCAACATGGAGATACTTCGGAATAATTAAACTCAACAAGAGAATAAAATCCAATTATTCCAGAAACTGTTGATTAAAACCAATCGAATCTCTAAACACAATTAACAGCTAAAGGCAATTTAAATATGCTGATGAAAGTGCTTCATATCTTCAACTGAAATCGCAAAGCGCATAGATGATTTCTGTAAACCGAAAACTCAAAGTATGAGCCAGAATAGACATTGTTGGGCGTAAGCTGCTACCACTCCACCATCACAGATCCGAAGAGAAACTGAGAAACAATCAACGGTAAAGGTACCGTGATAGAAAACAAGAAATGACGAGAAAACCGGACAATGCCGGAGAAAAACTAAAGCTAGCTATCGTCGCGAGAACCGATCGATACTAGACGAAAAGCTATCCAACCACCGCTATATGAGCCGATAGCTAACAGATAGATGCCGGAATACAAATCGGACGGCCAAAAAGAAGACCAAGTCGCTCTCTCTCTCTAAAAGATTTGAGAGAGAAAAGAGAGAGAGCCACTATTTTGTTTGACATTCTATCGTGAATAGTGAATATGTCATTTGTTTTATAACTATTATGTTAAAAAATATATTTTTCAAATTAACTATTTTTAGTATTATTTTATTTTATTATTTAATTTTTAAGAAATATTATTATTATTATTGATATTTAATTTAATTAGTTTTAATATTATATACTGCAACTTTTAAATCACAAGAGTTACCAGTCACTTGTATTGATTAGACGGATAACTCATATTTCTACAGCAAATTACTATATCAGTCTACAGTTTATACCACATCTATACTAGTATTTTCGCAACACTTTGGTGACGGGTGGGTAAAAATGCTTCTGGGTTAATCGGATATCCGACCCGTTTTTTAAATTCCTTCACAAAAAAATTTGTTGGGTCGGATTATATTTAACCCAACTCATACAGCGGATATCCCATATTTAATAATTTAGATATTTAGAAGATTTGATTAAGATTTAGAATTATGATTCTCCTATCATCTTTGTTTGATTTGTTTTTAACTATTTTGAATCATCAAATAATACATAAAGTAAAAAAAAATCTATTTTTTTCTGCATATACTGTGATTCAAAATTTTAAAAACGGACATATATTATCCAATTGACAAAAATGTGTGTTCAACGTTCTACATCGATTAAAATATTTAGACAATGATTCAGAATCATATCATACATAAGATCAACATTAATAAAATAAATGAGTTTTTTTGCAGAACGGGTTTGGCGGGACGGGTTTTTGAATCAACAATAATAAAAAGATTAAATATCATTAATCTGCCACTTCAATATGGATTAAATCCTTCTTTTTTTTAATACCACCAATATTAGACATTTTAAATCAGTCTCATTTAGAAAAGATTGTATAAAACCAAAAATTGTCAGTTGGTATAATGTTACTTAATAACAATATTTTAAAACTTCAAAATATCATTAACATGCCGTTTATTACATATTAAATCTTCAGTTTATTAAAATATAAATGTCTTAGAGAATGATATGATTTATAAACTTTTATATATAATAAATAATCATTAAATTTTAAAATAAAAACAAATCACGGGACGGGTTAAGAAATTACGGAACGGGTTATATTTCGGAAAGGATTTATATGGCGGACGAATTTGAATCAATATTTATATACCGTTTTAATACGGGTTAAATTTTCAGTTTATTAATAATTGTTTCCTAGACTCGTGGTATACCGTTACTTAATAACAATTGTAAACTATAATATAAATAAATATGTTATAAGGAGATACAATTTACAAAATATTTTTATACTAACTTTAAAATTAAATCACCCCGCGGTACACCGCGGGTTAAAATCTAGTAATTTCTAACTAGCTTATCAAAGGAATATTAACAACATACTACATGTAAGCTAGTTAAGTTGTGAGTAGATCTGAGGGCTATTGAACTTAAAAATGTCACAATGTCATATTTGTATCAGGATCATCAAGCATCCACAGTCTTTTTCCTTGGTCACACCTAACTGATTGTAAATATCCATTACGAATCCTTCTAGTTTCTCAAACCTCTCCTTGGGAATAACAAGGAGGTGATCCGCCACAGTAATATTACCAAGTCTCGTGTCAAATTATAGCTGAAAGGTAAATTAAAAGAACAAATCATGGATCAACTTCGGTAGTAATCTAACATTTTTGCGAAAGGCTAGTCTTAAATCTAAGCTGAAACTTCCATCAAGCAATTTGTATAAAGCGAGCCTACCATCAACAAGATTCATAACACAAATTCTAAAAATAATCTTGAATCATTTACACAGAACCTGATTTGCAAATAAGTGGAAAACCAGAGCTAGATCTAGAAATGATACCATGTTAGGCTTAAATACCTTCATCTTTTGCAGTTTTTTGTACTCCACCTTAAGCGTCTCGAGTTCCTTCTCTTTGTCGTAAAGATGCTCACCACTCGTTTAAATAGATTAGGTAGGATTAGATATGGGCTTCTTAGGCTTAAGGGATCCTTAGCTTCCTGAAAAACGACCATGCAGTCAGGTTTCTCAACTATTATTACAATAAATAAAAAATCGAGTGAAATAGTGGGTTGTAGTTTAGTATTACTTCCTGCACAAAGTACTGCTCTGTTGCAGTTTTCTGCTTTTGCTTATCTTCCATTAGTTTCAGGGTTTTCCGCTAGCGGTTCTTCTGTACAACAACCTAGAGGTAAGCTTCTTTAATCTGCAGTACGATTCTTCCATTTAATACCAAGTTCTGTTTTCTTCTTTGATAGTGACGATACTACTTATCTTTTCTGAGCTTGAACGTGATTCTTGTTTCTCCAAGTTCAAATAAGCCAATCCTTAAGGTGTTCGTAAATTCCATATGAGTACACTCCAGAAGAATAACAGATCATTATAAGCTTGAAAGGAAGAGAATTAGTTGATAGTGAGAATAGAAAAGCCCATAAAAGCAACAAAGAAAACGAGACAAAGAAAGAAGAACATTTGATATAATCATAAACCATACGGTATAAAAGGATATTTATTGGGCGACCTTGCTATTCTCCAAGGCAAAACATGAAGGATAATGTTAAAACATGCACACATCTTGGTAACTATTAGTAATGGGCCTAACTCAACACCCAAAAGCTAGCTCAAGGGAGGAGGTTTGCCTCATACTATATATATTGCCCAAGGATTTTATTTCTTTCCGATGTGGGACTCTAACACACCCCCCTCACGCTCAGGACTGGACATCTGAAGCGTGAAGTTTGTGGGACTGGACATCCACGGATGGTAGCCCACTTTCAAGAAAGTTGAACCTTGGCCCTGATACCATATTAGTAATGGGCCTAACTCAACACCCAAAAGCTAGCTCAAGGGAGGAGGTTTGCCTCATACTATATATATTGCCCAAGGATTTTATTTCTTTCCGATGTGGGACTCTAACAATAACGTTGGATATATATTTTTCCTGAATTCTCACCTGAGATTTTCTTGAGGATCCACGTAGACACTTTGAAAAAAAGTAGACAAAGTTATAATATGCAAGTTTTTATCAAAAACAAATATGACCCTATTAGAGATGCTTTGACTCTCATAATTGATGTCCGAATTTCAATTACCTATGTTGAAGTAAAATGAGAACAAGTGAGAATCCCTGACAGTATCGGTAGAAATCTTCTTGTGCGTGCTTGACAGTAATCCTGGGCTGACTTAGCAAGAAAAAAGATGATCAACTTGCATCCTTTTCAAATTCTAATATTACACGATCACGAATAGGTAGACAAGTTTTGAACACTCTAAATTAGAAAATGTATTTAGCAAGAGAGAAAGTAAGGTAGAAAAGTACCGCTTCAACTTGTAGTGCTTTATTATTGTGAACTCCAGTTCCAGATACTTGAATAAGTTCAACTGATTCCATCGTGTCGGTTTCGTCTGATGAACCTTTTCTCTGTCATTCTATTTTTGTAACCAGAACTCAAGCGACCTTAAACGTTAATGTAACTATAACAATTATGAATAGAACTGCAACCACACAGATCAGCCAATCTATAAACATGTGCTACATTTCGATGGGAACCAATACCTTAAACAAGGAAGATAATGAAAAACTTCAATGGGAATGTGAACATACCGCAGAAGTAACCAGAAACTTCAGTCTCCTGCGTCCACAAGGAAGTGTAAAGTAACACAAAATTAGTAATCAACATAAACATGAAAACCACAGATGCAGTATAGATCCTGGAAAAGAATCACCATGAAACAAGAAAGGTACTCAAAGAACAAATATGCTTCCTCGAAACTGAGCTGCATCAAATTTAGAATTATCCAAATCAAACCAAGTAAAAAATAGAATATTATAACATCTTATAACGGTAACAAAATCAATGACATAAACCTTGAGAAAGAAGTAGCGAAACCCTTAAATACCTGACCAAAAATGGTTTATATTCCTGAAGAACTCATAGATGATGAAGTCGTTCTTCTCCCTCTTAAGTAAAAACCTAAAAGCCTCACAAGATTATGATGTTGAAGTTTCTCAACCCACGAGACTTCGTTTACGAACTCATTGTCTCCTTGTCCTGATTTCATTGACAATCTTTTCACAGCTCTCTTCCCCAGAATCAAGAATACCCTGGTGATTATTGAAACACATGTTATGAGATTGAATCATCCAAAAAAACGTCTAACTAAGATCATAAACATAAGAAACACTTATCAACCTTATAAACTGCACCAGATCCACCTTCACCAAGCACCAAGATGGTTGTTTGGAGAGAAGTCATTAGTTGCTAATCTTATAGTGTCAAAGTCAAGTTGCAATAATTGTGCCTCTGTAGTTTAATGGTCTTCCACATCTTTGCTTGATCCTAAAGCAATAAAGCAAAAGGGTGTTTAAAGTTAAAACTCTCGAGAAAATAGTTTTAACCTAAAGATTTGACTTTTTGAATAAACGTTTTACCTTCAAGTCTCTGTTTTGCTTTCTTCTATTCCTGTCAACAAGAAGTAAAAGAGCATCTAAGTCAACATATCAAGAACATGGAATATTAATAGCTGTAATTTGCTAAACATGTATTAGTAATAAGCAACTCGCAAAATCCAGTTTCTAATACGTTTTGTGCCTAAGATGAAAAGCAGTTAGCACAACCAGTTTCCAGCCATATATATTATTTGATGGCAAGTCAGAGGTTTTGATAACGATGCCTTCTTCTGGAAGGAATTCCCTTGCACCTGTGTTACAGATAAACATACCAAAGCTAAATTTAATGAGAAAAAGAAGTGGCAGTTAACAGAAAAGTCGATGACAATCAGGTTTAATTTCGTGCGTTCTGGCAGCTTCCCCTCAGTTTAAATGTAAATCAATCCTCCTCTATAAATGCAGAGCTTCCTCAGTTTTAATTAGTCTACTGGTCATTTTAACAAATGAGATTCAATCCCTAACTTTATTATGTATAAGTGTGCTGAAAACAGAGTTGACATATGCCGACACTACATAATTTAATTGCTTTTAAATGAGTATGTTCCCAAACCCTCTCTAACACAATCACATTAGCTAGCACCATACTTAAAAATTGACCCCCTTCTCATATGGTTTAGACTCTAAGAAAACGTTTTGTCAAAGAACTTAAACAACTAAACATAATTCAGGAAACAACTAATACAAAACCATCCTCCTAAGCGACCTAAAGCAAGCGTGAAAACATGAACGCTCAATAATAAAGAGAACCTAACACAAAGAACTGAACCCCACATAATCAATAGCCGAAAAAAACTGATCTATACAATCACTTTGGCCAACTAATCACAAAGAACTTCCAACATAACATTAGCTCTCTAAAGAATAGAAGGAACGTGAAATCCAAATCTTGGAACATCAAAATCTATACGTATCTAGAATCATCGACGACCTATAAGCAAGAGATATACCACATAAATTAAAAAATTCAAGCAGCTTAGATATCAAACAAATAAACACATCCAAAGATAATTGCTTAAAAACCAGTGAAAGAATTACTGCAAGATTGTCATAGCAAATGTAACTGATACCAAAACAATTACTAGCACACCCTACATGCTATCAAATCACAATATTGATACCGACCAAATACTGATAAAGGCATGAAATAAGATGACCTTTTAAACTCTTCGAAAACTAATTCATATATATACATCCTGACTTACATTTACCAAGAACATGCAAAAAATCTATTCACATGTCTAGACTCATTACAGTGCTAAGACCAAAAGCACAACCAAACAGAAAAAACTTTCCAATTCACTAGAGAGATGGCTAATATGCAGAGCAAAAGATTTTCTGGAAGCAAGATCCTTAACACTATACGCAATAGCTTCTTTCTTTCTTCAATAAAAGAATAATAATTTAGATGCAACATCTGAGTTATCCAATAAAAAATAAGACAAACCAGTAACAACATACATTCAAAAGGATCATCTGTTGGCTGTTGCGGAACTGCAGTTTTGAGCAATGTTAATGTACCAACACCAGCTTGCTGCCAGAAAAAATTGATATCAACATATTTGTAAATAGATATTGTAATTTCAAACTTAGACCATCGTCTCATGTCAGTGTAGCATCAATCAACCGTAAAAATAAAAAGTAAAGGGAGAGCGAAATATGGACCTCATTTCTTTGTGCACTCTTTGATCTTTACTTTGCTTCTCTTTTAGCTTTTCTGAAACAGTCAACTTTAACCACCAATCCTATCTCTTCAGCCACCAACTGAAACAAGAGAATGAAATTAAGAAAGAACACATAACTTTTAGAAAAGAACGACCCATAAAGTACATAGCCGAGTCAAATCTAATGAAAACCACATGTAGGATGTGTTCAAAGAGAGGCTAATGTTACAGAATAAAGACTTCGCCACAACAGGAAAAAAAACAAAAAAAAACAAAAAACAAGAGAAACTAATGAGAACCTTTGGTATCACCTAATATCTTTGGAAAGGCACAATCTCCAAAGTGAGAATAAATAAGCCAACAGACGCAACAAAGAATGTTTTTCTTGGAACTTCAACAATTTCCAAACACACAAAATCGAGAAGAGAATAAACATAGCAAATCACAGACATATCGTAGATCAGAGAAGAGCTTTCACTCTCCATAGCAAATCTCAGACATATTATAGAGCAGAGAAGAACTTTCACTCTCACAGACATTTGAGTTAATGAGAAAGACTAAAACCATTTGGAAAACTAATTTCAAGGCTGGGTTAGTAATATAAGTTAAAGCAAACAGCAAGCAGCAAACATGCATACCTTTAGAGAAAAATTCAACCTGCACGCTTTAGACTATATAAAAAAGAAACAAGTAGTAGAATCCAAATGAGAGACACCACCATATAAGGCAAAATTCTCCCATACCAGAAAGAAAAAAAAAACAATGGTAGATTTGGTTGAAATAATGAAGTCAACCATCTACTATTAAGAAAAAGGTGATAAGACGCAATGTAATCAGAAGAAGAAAATAGCTTCATGGAGTTTTTACATTCGCTTTAAAAAAGAAGGATCAAGAAGAAACCATTTTCCATTGGGAAACGAACAGAACATGGCAGAGCTTGCACTCTCGACTCCATGGTGGCAACAAGAAGTACTTCTCATATAAACAGAAACAAAACAATCACGAAGCCAAAAAGAATATTAAAGGAATCAAACCAACATTAATGTCACTCCAGCTGTAACCTTCAACAAATAGAATACGTAGATAGGAATAAAGGATATTTATTGGGCCAGCTTCCTCTCTTTTCAGCTATGCAGTTAAAGCAAAGAGCTTCTACATAAACATGAAAACCACAGATGCAATATGGATCTTGGAAAAGAAATCACAAGCGAGTAAAAAGGTCATGAAAAGTACATATTAGACAAGCGAGTAAAAAGGTCATGAAAAGTACAAATGCAATATAGACCCTGGAAAAGAAATCACCCATGAAACAAGTAAGGTTCTTATAAACTGAGCTGCATCAAAACTGAAATTATCCAAATCAAACCAAGTTAAGAATATAATTTAACATCTTATGACGCTAACTATCACTGATGATCTGTTAGAATTGAAACCATTCCTAGAGGTATTTGAACCGGCTAAGAACTTGAAGACTAGGGCTCTTGACCTGACTTAGCAATCCCAAAAGAACTGACATAAAAAGATTTGGTAGAAATGTTGAGTCTTGTCAAGGTTTGAAACATATCTTGCTACAATCTGAAAAACATATAAGCCTATAGTAAAAAGGAGAATTGAGTAAGCAAACATTTACTAGAAGTTACTAGCTCCCCTATTCGGAAAAGATAAAATCAATTAAAGTAGGTATAAACATAGGAAACGAGTAAAGCCCTTTAGCACAAGTATTGATCACATGTATATAGAATATTATGTAGAGAAGTAGGAACCTATTTGAATCTAACAAAAAAAAAAAAACGGTACAAATGAAAACGCACATATATCTCATAAGAACTTAATCCTAGGAAATGATGACGCTTAATAAACTAGGAACGCCTAAAGACATACCCTAAGAGGACCAATGCTTTCCTCTCTGCGATGTAAAACTCTTTATGTATTACAAAAACATGAGTAATAAGCATTGAACATAAAATAGTTGTATCATCTCATAGAAATCAAGCTAAAAAAATGGCAAATAATAGAATGAATTTAAAAGTTTACTTCCCCTTATGATTCTCTTAGCCCCTTGATACGTTTGAATTGAACAAGCACTTCTCTTAGACCTTTCATTCTTGGAAAATCTATTCAGTTCGTCCTTGATCTTTTTATCCACTATAGAATCTATCTTTCTCAATATTCAGGATCAACCATCTTGCCAAGGGAAAAAATCAAATCTTGATAGGATAAAAATATTGATCTGCTCTGCTAAATAGGATACCTAAGCCCATTTTAGATTCTTGATAGAAAGACAATTTTAAGGTTTGGTGATATCAATTAAAGCAAACAGAAAAAAAATAAATAAATATATATATATATATATATATACCTTCAGGGAAATATTCAACATATGCGCATGTATGATTATTAGCGATTAGTTTACGTCTCTCATAGTTAACCTGCACACATTAGACAAAAAGTTATACAATTAAAATCCAAATGAGAGAAAGAACCATATAAGGAAAAATGTTTACCTTGCAGGTCACTTTGTCCCACATTGATAGATCTCCCATTTCATTAGAGAGATGACGTATATGCAGAGCAATATCCGGCAAGGTGATTCAACATCTGAGATAAACAGGAAAAACTAGTAAGGCTATAACTATATGTATTCAAAGAAATCACCTGTTGCTGAAACGCCTGTTTTGATGTAGCAATACCAACTTGCTGCCAAACAAAAATGGTGTCAGCATTTGTAAATAGAGAACTGTAATTTATGTTAGAGAGAAACGTTGGAACAAATTTGGCTGGGCACTCTATGATCTTTACTTTGTTTCTCTTTCAGCTTTTCTGAAACAGTCAACTTTAACCATCAATCCTATCTTTTCAGCCATCAACTGAAACAAGAGAATCAAAGTGATGTGAGTGACGAAGAAAATCTGAAAAGCACACAACCATACACGAGGACAAATTATATTTGATTGAAATAATGAACTACTATGTAAGAAAAAGGTGTAACCAGAAGAAAAAGAAAAATAAGTACATTCTTGACAGTGTTTTTCAGTCTGAGAAACCATCTAAAATCTAAATCAAGTAAAAATTAATCTAACGTCTAAAAACAGAAACCGGAAGACCATCAAAAGAAAGAGATAAGGAAATTGTCGCAAGAGTCAACCAATTAGGAACCAAAATTATCATACAGGTCTAACCTCTAACAGAGCTTGAAGATAATAACTCACTTATTTTGTTTTTTTTTTAATGACAAAAGAAAAGCCAATAAAGAAGTAATGATCAATCAGGTATGCTCGAAGGAAGCATTTCAAAAGGATATTGACACAGCATACAGAAGTATTGATCAATCAGGCATAGAAAACCTGTTAAAAGAAACAATAATGAACATCAGAGACGTGATAAAGATGAAAGGAACACAAACTAATTCAGTAAAAACCCAACATCTCAATGAATTTCAGCTCATGTTGCAACCAAATAAATATTCAGTAGTAATAATTTTCAACAGCTATTAAACCAAGGATTGAATACCAATTGGAGGAAAACTCTATAGAAAAGCTACACTTACCTGGCGAATTTCCTCAGGTTGAAGAGTACATTAAACGTTTAGATGCTTTCAGTTCTCCTTCTGAAAGAGTCATTCAACAAATTGATGTTTCGAATAAGAAAAAAAAAAAAACAGAACAGCCAAGGATATGAAAAGACCATGTTATGATTTGAAAGAACTCTCGCCTCTGGTTTAATCATGTAGAATATTAGACATAGGATATCTTCAAAGAGTACATGTTCATTGGGAGTGATCACCACCCAATCTCCATTCTCCAGCCAGGTATATATATGCACTTGAACCTGCAAATGTGGTTTTCTTCAATATCAAGGGAAAAAAAAACACAAAGCTGCCAAGATCATATGTTAACATTCATAGGAGATAGATGAGCATACCAATGAGGCATCATATTATATAATGAATGGTAACGAGCAACAGCTCACTTGTACCTAGACGTATGTCTTAGTTTCAATACGAGTATTCTATGTTCATGAACTAATGGATAGTGAATTCAAAATCTCAAGTAGACATTTTGTTTCATCAAGAAGGCCACATATGCCACAAGGAGGGAAGAGACGTGTACCAATATTTAAGACTAGGCTCAGATGACTTATCCTCCTCAGCGAGAATAAAGTATGCAAAATCTTTCAATCAAGAGAGAATGAAACACATCCCACTACTAGACTGATCCCGCAGCAGAAGGGTTAATTGTACACACCTGAAATATACCTCACTCAAGATGAGATTGATACCACGGGTTGCCAAATCCTGTCATAATGTTTTAAGAATAGTATAGTTAATAACCAGATCATCCAATGAAATCCAAAAATCAAAGTAAAGTATGAATACAAAATTAGGAAACAAGTAAAACCCCTGAAACCATAAACAGCCACAAGATAACGTGCAATGTCCAATCACTGCTCAAGCAGCCACCAAACACAACAAACCACTGCATCGACAGAAGAAAGCCACATTTGGCAATTTATGAGTCAAAGCCTAGTATACAAGCGTTTCTCACTTTGAAAAAACTCTACAACCTAAACCAAGTAAGTAATATTGGTATAAAAAATAAAAGAGGCAAAACCTGAGGACCATTAAAAAAGAGAGACCAAAACGTGATATCCCCTGTATCTGCATAAGAAGTAATTTCAACAAGTCAATAAAGGTAACCAATGCAAAAAGGAATAAAACAGTAGAAAGAAAACACCCATGAATCAAGAAAGTTCTTCAAGACAGTGCAAGAGTTGCCCCATATAATACAAAAACTTAAACAAGGTGATCGCTGGAAATAAACGGAAAAGTTACATAGCAAAGTTTGACACACAAAAAAATCTCACACGCATCAGTGTAAAAAATGTAGAATTGCAATTCAACATTTTTACTTTTGTTTTTCCAAATATCATGTGTCTTGTGTAGTTTGTACTTACGGAAGTATACATTTTTCACTCATCAGCAATAGATCAATAGTGGTAAAGAACTTACCCTCATTGTGATGCCTAACTTGTTACTTCTGGTCTTCATGGAGGTGACTTTGAATTGCGAGAGGGCAGCCACTGCTGCTGCTCTTTGTGACGCCTGACTTGTTTATTCTGGTCTTCATGGAGGTGATTTTGATGATGGTGTACAATTGAATGCAGATATAAAGCTTTATCCTCTTGTCTTGGACCCCCTTGGGTTCCATTTGAACTTTCTCGCCTCAATTAAAGCAAAGAGCGCCTAAGTCAACATATCAAGAACAAGGGATACTGGTCATTTTATAAATGCAGAGCTTCCTCGGTTTTAATTAGTCTACTGGTCATTTTAAAAATGAGATATAATCTCTAACTTCATTATGTATAAGTGTGCTGAAAACAGAGTTGGCATGTGCCGAAACTACATAATTTAATTGCTTTTAAATGAGTATGTTCCCTCTCTAACACAATCACATTAACTAGCACCATACTTAAAAACATACCCCCCTTCTCATATGGTTTAGACTCTAAGAAAACGTTTTGTCAAAGAACATAAACAACTAAACAGAGTTCAGTAAACAACTAATGCAAAACCATCCTCCTAAGCGACCTAAAGCAAGCGTGAAAACATGAACGCTCTATAATAAAGAGAACCTAACACAAAGAAGTGAACCCACATAATCAAGAGCCGAAACAACTGATCTAAACAATCACTTTGGTCAACTAATCACAATGAACTTCCAACATAACATTAACTCTCTGAAGAACGGAAGGAACGTGAAAATCCAAATCTTGGAACATCAAAATCTATATGTATCTAGAATCATCGACAACCTATAACCAAGAGATTGTAACCAAAGCAGATAAGATATAAAACAATGAAACTGATCCAAAGACCATCGTTTAAAAACCCAGTGAAAGAATTACAGCGAGATTGTTAGCAAATGTAACAATATTGATTACTAGCACACCCTAAATGCTATCAAATCACAATATTGATCAAATACTGATAAAGGCATGAAATGAAAAAAGTTTACCTTTTAAACATCTTCCAAACTAATTCATATATATACACCTTGACTATCATTTACCATTAACATGCAAAAAAACCTACATGCCCGTCTCTTCGTGGCAGTGCTAAGACCAAAAGCACAACCAAACAAAAACAACCTTCCAGTTTCACTAGAGAGATGGCCAATATGCATAGCAGAATATTTATTTGAAGCAAGATCCTTAACACTATACGCACTAGCTTCTTTCTTTCTTCAACAAATGAATAAGAATTTCGATGCAACATTTGAGATATTCAAAAAAAAAAAGAAAAAGACAAATCTGTAACAACATACATTCAAAAGGATCATCTGTTGGATGTTGTTGAACCAATACCAATATTAAGGTACCAATACCAGCTTGCTGCCAGAAAAAATTGATGCCAGCATATTTGTAAATAGATACTGTAATTTCAAACTTAAACCATCGTCTAAGTCAGTGTAGCATCAATTAACCGTAAAAATAAAAAGTACAGGGAGAGCGAAACATTGGACCTCATTTCTTTGTGCACTCTTTGATCGTTTTACTTTGCTTGCTTTTCTGAAACAGTCAACGTTAACCACCAATCCTATCTCTTTAGCTATTAACTGAAACAAGAGAATGAAAATTAAGAAAGAACACAGAGCTTTTAGAAAAGAGCGACAGATAAATTAAATAGCCAAGTCAAATCTAATGGAAATCACAATTCAAAAAGAGGCCAATGTTACAAAATAAGAACTTTGCCACAACAAAAAATTAAACTAAAGAGAACCTTTGGTATAACCTTATATCTTTGGAAAGGCACAATCTCTAAAGTAAGAATAGAAAAGCCAATAGAGGCAACAAGGAAAACGAAACAAGGAAATAAAAACGTTTTATATAATTATAAACTTACAATATGAAAAGATATTTACTGGGCCAGCTTGCTTTCCTCCAAGACATCGAAAGTTATGTGTATTTACAATAAAAAAGTTGTGGTAGAGTAGTATTGACAGATGCTTACCTCTTCACGCGCCGGAACATTTTTGAAAGCAAGAGCTTTTGCTGAATCAAACAGCCTTAACCAACATTTCAAAATATAGAACAATATTGCTTAGAAAACTCTTTTATTTGCTTCTTGGTTTCTAGATTTGACTGTTCTTACCGATCTAGATGATTTATATATGATTTATAGATATGGCATCCTAAAAGCAATTTCTTCCCTAACTCAACATTATGGATTTTTGGTTGCCACCGGCGATAGTTATCATGTTTACTCAAATAAACATACGTGGTCTAAGTTGTTGTAATTTCTACCACTTTCCTGTGAATGTGAATATACCGCTTAAGAAAAAGTGAAATGAATGGCAAATATACACAAAGTCAAATCATACCTGATAGAAGAAAAAGGTTTATAGATAAGAAGTAATCAGAAAACCGGAATTACAAGCACTATGCATCCTTGCTGTCCAGATAGAGCGCAAACCATCTTGACTCTCCTACAAGCTCTACGATCTAAAAAAAAACAGAAGTTACTCTTAGTAATTGGGAAGGAAAGTCAACATCTCAAGTTTAATATAAGAATAAATAACAATCAAAAGACGAAAACCTTGATACAGAAACCACCAATAAAAACTATCAACTGAAGAGGCCCGTGGCTACCAATTAGAAACCAGAATCTTCAGTCTCCTGCATCTACGACAGTGTAAAATAACACAAAATGAGTAATCAACATAAACATGAAGGTTCTCAAGACAGTGCAAGAGTTTCCCCAAAAACATCTAAGCAAACAGTTTTAGGAGTTACTTAGCATTAGACTGATCAATATTATCGCAGAAGCAGCAAAAAATGCATCATAAGGACTTCCCCTAAACAAAAAAAAAAACAGTACAAAAGAGAACCTTTAGTATCACCTTATATCCATGGAAAGGTACAATCTTTAAAGTGAGAATAGAAAAGCCCACAAAAGTAATAGGGAAAACGAGACAAAGAAAGAAAAACATTTCATATACTCATAAACTTACGGTGTAAAAAGGATATTTATTGGGCCACCTTGCCATCCTCCAAGGCACAACTGAAGAAGTGTTGATCATATACATATATATAATCGGTAGAACAAACAACAATGAACACGAATGCCAGACAATAAATAACCAGAAAAGGTACAAAGCAAAGTTTGAGACGTTTGACCCAAAAAAACCGCTTCGATAGACATATCCACGTTGAAAGGGTTAAGGAATGTATATGAATTTGTTCAAGGGACCAAGGTGGTCTGACGAAACCTAAGGACCATTAATAGAAAGAGAACAAATGCTTTCAAAATGAGATTGGATACACCTGAAATATACCTGACTCAATATGAGATTGATGACATGGGGTTGTCAAATGCTGTCATAATATTTTGAAAAAAACAGTCAATAACGAGATCATCCAATGACATCCAAAAATAAAGTAAAGTAGGTATACAAAATTAGGAAACGAACAAAAACCCTGAAACCATAAATAGCCGCAAGATTCCAATCAACGCTCAAGCAGCCACCAAACAATACAAACCACTGCATCGACCGAAGAAATCCACATATGCGATTTAAAATGAGTAGAAGCGTTTCTCGTTTTGAGAAGCTCTACAACCTAAATCAAGTAAGTAATATAGGTGAGGACCATTAAAAGAAAGAGCCCAAAACGTGATATCCCCTGTATCTGCATAAGAAGTAAGTCAACGTGTCAATAAAGGTAACCAATGCAATAAGGAATCAAACAGTAGAAAAATAACCCGACCAATGTGATTTGTGGAAATTTTCTTCGACTCTTCTCCCATAATTAAACTAAATCACTGGCACTGATAGATACCAAAAGCAACTCGAGTAATTGCGGTACCTTTGTGTGCACATGAAGTGTTTGGCGTTGCTGACTCAGGTCTTCTACTCTCCCTGACTCTATTTCTTGATTGGTCAAGCCTCTTCACTGACATTGCCAATCTTCCTCTTTGATCAGCAGATACCTGGAATGAGGACAATAATGTCAATCGCAAAAACGCCTCTGACATCTAAAAGTTTGTGCGAAGATGACAGATAAAGAAGGGTACTGCCCTCAGGACACATAAGCTTAACTGATGCGAGTCAATTAAGACAACTAAGATAGTGAGAAGACAAGAGTTTCTATTTAGGAGTTAGGAGATTACTACATGCAGATCCGCAATTCCATATTTCATCAATTCGCCACAGACGAGACTGCTTAGTATCTGAGGACAAAAATCGTTTCAATTCCTTCTTCAATTGGTTCAATTAGATGTACACTCTTTTAGTTTAGAAAGATACAAAGCTTTAGCACTCAGCTGCAAACTTCTAGCCTCGAGATCCACTTTCCAAATCTACAAAACAAAACACAGAAGCATTTATTGAGTTTAAAAACTAGAACAGAACGGTATAAATATTAAGCAAGTTAATTGTTAATACCAAGACATCAGCTTCTTCTAATCCAGACTTGCTCTCAGTAATCTTCCACATCTTCTTCCCCGTAAAAGCACATAACTCTATCAAAACAAACCTCTACTCTGGTTCTATGGCACCAAAAAATGTAACAACTTCGAGCATGTCTATGCACTATAACCCCAAGAAAGACAGTGGTAAACATAGACTGAGAAACAAATGAAAAATTAACCAACTTACCTAATGAAATCAACTATCAAGAACCAAATATTAGAAAATAAATAACGCACATAAGGAATTATGATTGGTCAAACGCAATATCTTTGACTCCTTCTCCTCACAATGCTTCTCTCTTAAAAGAAAATTGAAGTTACGCAAAGATAAAATGAGCAATCATGTAAATGCCAACAAAAGAGCTTCACGTGTTGCTTAAGAAAAAGTGAAATGAATGGGAAACCCTCTTGACTCCTCTACGATCTAAAACAAACAGAAAATACTCTCAGTAACATAAGAAATAAATTATGATACCAGAAACCATGAATAAAAAACTATTAATTGAAGAGGCAAGTGGCTTCCAATTAGAAACCAAAAACTTCAATCTCCTCCATCCATGACAGTGTATAATAACAAAAATGCGTAATCAACATAAACAAGATATTTATAGGGCCAGCTTGCTACCCTCCAAGTCACATCATGAAGGATAATGTTAAAGCATGCACACATCTTGATAACTGATAAGAAAACGTTGGATATATATTTTTCCTAAATTCTCACCTGAGATTTTCTCTAGGATCCATGTATACACATTGAAAAGAAGAACACAAAGTTATAATATGCAAGTTTATCAAAAGAAAATATGACCCTAAGAGAGATGCTTTGACTCTCATAATTGATTGCCTAATTTCAATTACCGCTGTTGGAGGAAAAGGAGAACAAGTGAGAATCCCTGACAGTCTTGGAGGAAACCTTCTTGTTGGTGAAGTTCTGTTTTCCCCCAAGTGCAAACCAAAAGGATGAGCTCTATGTTCCCTCTTTTGCGTGCTTGACAGTAATCATGAGCTGACTTAGCAAGAAAAAAGATGATAGCAGGTTCTTAATCCAAATAAAACAACATTCAGGCATCCTTTTCAAATTCAAACATTACACGATCACAAATAGGTAGCCAAGTTTTGAACAGTCTAAATTAGAAAATGTATTTAGCAAGAGAGAAAAGTGAGGTAGAACAGTACCGCTTCAACTTGTAGTGCCTTATTATTGTGAACTCCAGTTCCAGATATTGAATAAGTGCAACTGATTCCGTCTGATGAACCCTTCTTTGTCATTCTACAGTACTTTTGTAACCAGAACTCAAACCACCCTAAAAGTTAATGTAACTATATCAATTACGAATAGATTTTCTTGCAGCAACAATCAAAAGAAATACCTTAAGGACAACCATAGGTTGGAAAGTGCAACAAATTGTGGAGGTTCTTTACCCTCAAATATAGGAGCCTGCAAGAAGATCAAGTTATTCAACAATCTTTCAGTGCTAGTGGCTATTACTTACAATAACAAAAAAGGTATCGGCACTGGTCTTCCCTTCAACGAATTTTTCATTGTGTTCGCTAGACGAACTGCTGTTTCTTGATCCTCCTAAACTTGGAGAAAAAAAAAACAGAGCCTGCTAACAAAATCATTGACATAATCCTTAAGAAAGAAGTGGCGAAACCACTTACACACCCGACTAAAAATGGTTGTGAGAAAATGAGAAAATAAAAGCCAATTAAGAAGTATTGATCAATCAGGTATACTCAGAAAATGAAACATTACAAAAGGATATTAATTCGGGCAACTCCAAGGCACACATTATAAAGAAGTATATATTGATCAATCAGGTATTTAGAAAACCTGTTAAAAAGAAACAATAATGAACAATTGCAGAGATGTGATAAAGGTGAAAGGAACACAAACTAATTCAGAAAAAGGGTTCAAAAGGAACTTATTTGAATGCGTTAACCAAGTGACCACCCATGTAAGTACTTCTTCCTGGTCAAATGAATTTCAGCTCATGTTGCAACCAAATAAATATACAGTAGTAATAAGTTTCAACAGCTATTAAACCAAGTATTGAATAACCAAAGGGAGGGAAACTCTATAGAAAAGCTAGACTTACCTGGTGTATGCAAAAAGGGTCATGAGTTTGAGACGCCATGAATTTGTTCAGGTTGAAGAGTATATTGAGAACATATCCAGAAAGTTTAGATGCTTTCAGATCCTGGAATGATATGCAGTTCTCCGTCTGAAAGAGTCATTCAACAAATTGATGTTTCGAATAAAGAAAAAAAAATACAGAACAACTAGGGCTATGAAAAATACCATGTTATGATTGAACTCTTGCCACTGGTTTAATCATGTCGAATATTTGACAGAGGATATCTTCAAAGAGTAAATGTTCCTTCCATGCGATGCAGCTTCTCTTCGTAAAAAAAACTACATTCTATTCGGAGTGATCTCCAGCGTCTATATATGGGCATGAACCTGCAAACGTGGTTTTAATCAATATCAAGGGAAAAAATAACACAAAGTTGCCAAGATCATGTGTTTAACATCCATGGGAGATAGATGAGCATACCAATGAGGCGTCATATCATATGATGAATGGAAACGAGCAACGGATCACTATGCCTTAGTTTCAATACGGGTATTCTATGTTCATGAAATAATGGATAGTGAATTCAAAATCTCAGGTAGACATTATTGTTTCATCAAGACAGAATGTTTAGAGTGACATACTGTGAACTATACATTTAGAGTGAGATACTGTGAGCTAAGCAGCGAAAGGACAAAATGGCGGAAGAGAAGAAGGGAAGAGACGATTACCAATACTCAAGATTAGGCTCAGAAAGTTAGATGACTTATCCTCCTCAGCTGCTACAAAAACAAGTTAGTCAGGTACATACATGATACTACCTCAATAGTAAGATGATCCACTACTTATATTACATACCGGATCACATGAGCATACAAGAGAGAGTTCATGTAACAAGAGTATCCTCCAACAACATCAAGTCAACAGAGAACCTGAGGACCATCAAAATGAAAAACGGAGGAAATTTTCTTGGACTCCTCTTTCTCCCATAATGTTTGCAACTCCTAAAAAAAGTCAAAATTGAAATTTCGGTTAGTAATTGGAAAAGCCAAACATCAAAATTTTTAGTACAACCAGTCAATGCATCTTATATTCAGCCCTATCAACTAGTCACACAGAAGGCCATTAGTCCAAGTAAAAGAAAAATCTCTATAGAGATTTTGCTGCATTCACAGAAGCACCCTAAATAAACATATAGCACTGTATTGAGAGTATATGAAAACTTTAAAGGTTTAAGAGACACTCCCATCGTGTGGCAGGAGATGATAACTTGGTGAAGATTTTTTGGACTTGTGATGTCTTTACCAAAAGAAAAAACAAAATCCGATATGAGATAGATAATCAGTTCATGTCAAAGCTTGAATTGGAAATCAAAACGATTGTTCAAGTGATCGATCAAACAGTAAAATTACGAATATGTTATGCTTCGATTCCTTTAGGATTTGGCTTCGCCTGCTTCATCGACGATCGGTTCCGTCATCATCTTCTAGATCGATCAATCCAGAGAGAAGCACAAAAATCAGAAAAATAAGCCTTAGTTTGAATTTCAAGAAACAAAATCGGGCCATTGCTTCTTAAGGCAGAGAAGAGAGACTTCTTTCTTACTTTAATTGAGGATTTTCTCTAAGTCGGTTTCTGGGTTTTGGAGAGCAAATGGTCACAATATCTATTTCGTAATTGAAAGCTCACAGATTCCTTTTCTCCCTCCTTCGTCTCTGCTTTCCGTCGGGTTTGGCTGATTTTGGATGCGATTCTCCGCCTTTTCCGGCGTCTCCTGGTGGTGGTTGTCGGATAGAAGCTGTTGCGTGTCGCTTGGAGGCTCTCGGCTTGCTGGTCGGATTCGTCTAGGTTCTTTGCTTGGGGACGGCTTTGTAACCGGCTTGTTTCCGACAGCTCCTTTTGGTCGGATCTCTTTCACGCAACAGTCCTCTTCTCCGGCAAGGGTTTTGGCTTTGTTGAGGTGGCTGGTTAGGTTTGCTCTTCTCCTTAACGGCGGGTTTGTGTTCTCAGATCGGGATTCTCAGTGGTGCTCCGCTGCAGATTTTCTTGATCTGTTTTTGCCGGTTCATGGTGGTCGCGTTTTCTGGCTGCTCGGGTCGTGGTGGAGCTCGAAGGGTGTTTGGCGGCACAGGCTGAGGCTGATTCTCTGTGGTGGTTGCCGACGTGGTCCTCCTCGCCTCCGTGTCTCAAGTTTGGGTCATGGCTCCAAGTGTGGGTCGTCGGTGCTGCAGTTCGATTCGGAGTGTGGCGGCTTGGTTCTTCTCCGGTGTGGCAATGGATTTTATGTTCATTCTGAGAAGTTCTCTCCTTGGTTTGTGGTCCTTCGATGCTTTGTGCATTGGCTGGATTGGGTTTTTGGCTGTTTTTGTTGTGTTCTTTGTTGTGATGCAGCTTGCTGAAGATGCGAGAAGCTTGGTAAGGGTTTTGAGGTTGAATAGAGGCGGCGGTTCAGTCTAGATGGTGTTCTCAAGTCCGTGGGAGTTGTTTCTTGAAGCGTCATGCTCGGGAAAAGTGGCCAGAGGCGGCTTCTCTGGCTGCCCTTTGGTGCTCTCGTGCCGCCGGGTTTGATTATATCCTCCCTAGCGGTTCCGTTTTTGCGTTAGTTCTCGGAGAAGCTGTAAGTGGGCCTTTGTTCTGAGGTTTAAGGACTGCTTCGGATAGGGTCTGCTCGTGGTAACAACGATGAGAACTCGAGTTCTTTTGAACTGAGGCAATCGCGCAAATGTCCAAGCTTCGCGGTTTGGAATCGGTGTTTCTTCCTTGGGCCTCCGCTGATTGGGTTTTTGGCGGTTGTTGTTGTGTTCTTTGTTGTGTTGCAGCTTGGTGAAGATCGCGAGAAGCTTGGTAATGGTTTTTAGGTTGAATAGAGGCGGCGGTTCGGTCTAGATGGTGTTCTCAAGTCCGTGGGAGTTGTTTCTTGATGTTTCATGCTCGGGAAAAGTGGCCAGAGGCGGCTTCTCTGGCTGCCCGTTGGTGCTCCCGTGCCGCCGGGTTTGATTATATCCTCTCTAGCGGTTCCGTTTTTGCGTTAGTTCTCGGAGAAGCTGTAAGTGGCCCTTTGTTCTGAGGTTTGAGGACTGCTTCGGATAGGGTCTGCTCGTGGCAACAACTATGAGAACTCGATTTCTTTTGAACTGAGGCAATCGCGCAAATGTCCAAGCTTCTCGGTTTGGAATCGGTGTTTCTTCCTTGGGCCTCCGCTGATGGTTTTCGCTTGTGTTTTCCTTGTTGTGTTTTATGTTTTATTTTATTTTTCATTGTAGTTTTCGGTCTTTCTGTCTTCCTTGTTTTCTCTGTAATCTCTGTCACAAATCTAAAATCGGTATAAAATTTCACTTTTTACCAAAAAAAAAAAAAAAAAAACCAAATTCAATAACTGATTCTTTTCGTTATATACATTTCTTTTGATTTGGTTTCAAACCGAGTCCACCAAATAAAAATTTAAATCATTTAATAGTAGCTTTTTCATTTTGTATAATACAAAATATTTTGCAAACTTAAAAAATTCTGTGTTCGATAATTTTCTTAAGTATATATTTGCATAACTTTCTTTCAGTTATCAATAAATCATATTTTGTATCATGTAGTGAAAATAATTTATTTTATTATGAGTAGTATAAGAATTATTTTTTTTTTTTTTTTGAGTCTTCTAACCAAAAATTATAGAAATGGTCAATTTTTTTTTGCAAATGGTCAACCCATCAAAAGAACCAGATGAAAAGATATCGATATAAAAAGAAAAGATGAATAGTTCCTTTTTAGTGGATGAATTTTTTTTTTTCTCTTGTTTGCTCATCTTACTAACATGAAAAAGATGAATACTAATATTTTGTACTTTCAATCCAAACGGTAAAATTTTGAATATATTTTTCACCTAATTTTGTTCATTTAAAAATATTTCTTTAACTAAGACAGGGAACAAACACTAAAACTAGTTCTCAATGATGGTATGACTAGATCTTTTTGCGTACATTATCAAAAGTTTTTAATGTTTCGGTTTACAAAATAAAATTCCTTGTATGTGTTCTTTTTATTTTACAGGAGATACTATTTGGAGTTTACAACTTGAACAGTCACTTAAGTAAGAAAGAAAAAACCATAAAGTAAATTAAAATTAAATCCATATGCAAGTGGAGCATATATAGAGTTGCAAAAAGTAGACACAAAGTAACAAACGTAAGTGAAGATAGGGAGAATCTAAAACTTGAAGGTAGCCAAACTAGGTCGATAGGTATGAAATTAAAGCATGAGCTTGTTGTTGGTGGTTAAATGGTGCACACATGTAAAGCGTAGAGTTACAATTGCTGCTTTATATTCAACTTTGTATGCGCTTGTTAGTTGTTACTGAGGCCACTACTGATGACAGCAGTTGTATTGTACTAAAGTTAAACGTTGAGTGTTTGAAATGTCCACAAGACACTCATGTTTTCAGAAATAAGGAACTACATGATGTATTAGCGTATAGGGTAAAAACCAAAAAATGCCCGTTTAATTTTTATTTGGGCGTTTAATGCTCAATTGTTTTTGGTTGGAAGAAAACTACACATAGTAATTAAAGTGTGCACAAAAATAAAATATTATTATTTTCATACGCACGATTTCATAACAACAATAAACTTCTAATTTTACCCTTAACATTTGAATCAACTATTAATTTTTAAATGACTTCGCGATCATTTTTCATTTGATTTGAATAAAATTTAATTTTTCTTTATATTTTGTTTTACTACAATTATTTATATTTATACTACAAAAAAAAAGTAATTTATATTTAAATTTTTTTACTCCATATTTTTATTTATTTATTTATTTTTTTGAAATTTATACATAAAATAATTGTAGTTAATAGATAATTCAAATTGTAAATTCATTTAAAAATTAATAGTTAATTCAAATTGTAAAGGTAAAAATTGAATTTTATTTTTGTTATGAAATTAGTATCATTGAAGTATTAATTGAACAACTCTTTAGAGTTCCAATTTGTATCATTAAAGTATTACTCTACTTAACTACTTCTCTTCTAAAAGTTCGACAGCCACTAAACATTTATATCACTAGAATTTAACCCATAGTATACCGCGGAATAATTTTTATTTCACATAATCTTAATTATATCAAGCTGATTTGATATGTCTAATATTCTAATATTGATATTGTTAACAAAAATAATAAAATCGTGATTTAACCCGTGTTGTAGAGCCAAGTTAGTAATATTTATTATTTTTATAACGTCGATTCAAACTTGTACTGCCATATAATATGTCCCATGTTTCTTCAAATTTTTATATGTTTAAATATTCATAGTATATTAATTTTTTATTAAGTTTAAATATATCAAAAAAAGTATTTAAGATTCTTTACCGTAAAATTAAACAGATCAACTCAAGAAATTAATTAAACCAGATCCAATCTTTTATATTTGGATGCTTTTACATTTATTTTTGAATGTATCTAAAACTTATTCATTTAAAAAAATCACTGTTACATCAAGTGCATCGTTTCCGAAAATAGATCCACAAAAAAATTACAAATCAAGTTCTAGTGGCGAGCCAAAGCATGAAAAGATCTTCATACTTTTTGTTTCCTTATTTTTTAAGTAGAGTGATCCGGTTGCAAATGGTTCTATCGACGATTTTTCCAAGTCTCGACGCTGGTGATGGGTCCTATCCATGTCGACGACTATTCCCTTCCCTCCATATAGTGTGGACTGTAATTTGGAAAGCATATCTGAAAAGCAGAAGTGATTTGGAGTCAACTGTTGTTCTTACTAGGATGGAAGTTAATACGAATTCCCTTGAATCGATAACTCTGAAACTGGTTGAGTGGCTGGAATAGTCAGGTGGTGCTCCAGCAAGTGTCTTGGAAGGTTGTCTCGGGTGTAGATCGAGTACTCTACTCGAGTAGATCGGTTGGTTTGATAGATCGAGTAGGAAGATGAACGGTCAGATGATGAAATCAAGTGAAGTGATAGATGCTCGAGTATGTGATCTCAGATGGTCGTATCGGGTCTGTTCGAGTGGTCTACTCGAGTGGTATACTTGAGTAGGTCGAGTGATGAACTGGTGGATCGAGTGGTCGCACAGAGGATGCGGAAAGCCTCTGCTATACCGACTGAACCTTCTTTGGATATGACGCACCAAAGAAAGAACAGGATTTCTCCAGGATATTACACACCTGAGAGAGAAGATCTAACTTAAAAGGTTTTTGATTAAAAAGATAGATGAAATGTCTCACAGAGATACAGAGAGTTTAAGTAGAGAAAGAAGGGGAAAAGATCAGAAGAGAAACACAAGTTACAATGTCATCTCGAAAATGAAAAGAGAATAAATGAAGGTTTGAATTCGAAAATGAGGCTCCTCCTTTTGGTTTGGACGTGGGCTTGAGACATAAGAGGAGTTGGGCCTCGAATTCAACAGATGGGCCATGATGGAGTGACATAATTGCCTCATTAAAAACCTTGTTGAGAAAACCCATTGGGACAAAACTCAACAAGGGAAAAAGAGTACAATTGGATCACTCTCCCATTGTTGAATCCAATTGGCTTATCTCTTTCTCCAAGCCAAGGTGGTTTGATCAGCTTCTTCAATAAAACATCCGCAGCTACAAGCTCATCCTCAGGTTCATGTTGGTCCTCTGGTTCAAGCTGCTTCCTTGCTTCGTGCTCCTTAGGTACAAGCTCGAGCTCCTTCTCCTTAGCCGCAGCATCAAGCTCTTTATCACATTCTAATTCCTTTGTGCTTTTTAGGATCACATCATCCTCTCCCACTTGAAAAGGATTTGACCTCAAATCCGATTTGTCTGCATTAGAAAGAACCAAGTCAGAAACTTCAAAAATAGAACTCACATTATACTTACCTTGCAGCCCAAGCTGATAAGCATTGTGGTTAACTCGTCTTGTTTTATCGAATGTACTATCAATCCGCTTGGACGTCTTTTCAGCTGGAAATCGTTTCTTCTTCAACCAAACCCAATGTTGTTCTCCAACTTCAAAGATCATCCTGAAATAAGCAATGGGTTTCTTATCCTGCATCATGAAAACTCTGATTCCAGTCCTCACAAAGATATTAGATGAGAGATCTTCTTAATCCGGTGGCTCTTCTTAATTTAGTAGACAATGATAGCTCAGATCTTGGAAGCATATAGTGCTGCATAGCCACATTCTCCTTCTGATCTTCTTTGCCTCTAAATCTATTTGA